GATTTGTGCTTTTAAAAACTGAAAAACGATACGTCGCACGGTGCAATATTTGTGAAAAATCGTTAACGAATACTTCAAGGGCACGTTTAACGCGACACAGGTTAGTTGTATCATTAAATAACAGTTGTAAAAATATTTGCTGGAAAAAAATTATTGATTTCTATGTTAAAATTGGTATTTATTTATTTAGAAATGTGTGTAAGAGCTATTCTCATGCAAGAAGTAGAAGTCCTATCAAACATTTAATTAATACAATAGAAGAGGATAAATCAAATATCGACTCACAAAATCCTAGAATTGAAGAATATGTTATTGAAGCACGAGAATTTGTTCGATCCCGTTAGTAAACGTGGAAAAAGTTGTTCCAGGGATAGGACCAGGTTGTATTAAAACGGCAATTTTCTTATTTCACCAATATTTCGCTTTATATTAAAGCTTCCTCAAGGGTGAGGTTACAACTGCATACAAAATCAAAGTTAGATTAATTTAAAAACAACAAATAAAACTTACATTGCGAAGAAACAAGCAAAACACAAATTTAACGGCGAACGGTTCGACAGGTTATAACCACGTGCGAAACAGTGAAAACGCGTGAAAAACAAGTTATAAAGAAAACCTGAGAAAAACGAACAATTCTTATTATCTATCTTTCTTAAATTTAATACAAATCAAAACAGTCGAAAATTAAAATATTTTATTAAAAATCAAACAACAAAACCGCCAAAAATTAAAAACAAAAGGGCAAATGGAAAACACATAGACTATGGGAGTTGAGGTTCAGAGTCCTTATTAGATACTTTATTAGATAATCCAGTTCTGTTTTTGTAAAAATCAAATATCCAAAAATAAATGGTGCTGATGGAACCAATGTCAGTTTTAAAGTTAACTGTCGATTGCTGAGTGGAGGTATGTAACATTTCCAGGAACAAGCGTTTATGATAGTTATCTTCTTTGTCTAATATAGTTGTTTTATCAAACCTAAAATGATGACCATTATTGATACTATGTTGTGCTAAAGCACAACATATGGGGTTGTGCTTTAGCACAACATAGTATCAATAAGTTCTTGACATCACTTTTGTGTTTACTCAATCTCCTCTTCAACCATTGGCAGGTTTGGCCTATGTACGTACAATTGCAGCTACCACATGGGACACAATAGATGATATTCTTATCGTATCTTATTTTTCAAATTGGAGAAGACAGAAATTAACTTAAAAGGATAGTGTTCTATTATTTTCAGATTTTGATCAACTTGATAATTTCTAAAAACTTTCATCAGCTTATCCGTTAATTGTGGTATGTAAGTGATTTTCATGTATGTGAGATTTAAAGAATCCTGTGATTGAAGATCAATAATAATAATAATAATAATAAACTGCCTTTATTTCCAGAGTAAAGAGAACAAACAATAATAATAGTAACTATAGTTACTATAATGCAAAATAAAGATAATCAAAAAAGAAAAAAAAAACAATATTTAAAAAGAAAAATAACTTAAATACAAAACAGGTGGAAATCCTAAGGCGAAGTTCAGAATGCGACCATAATATGGCCCGCTTCTGCTCTTCCACTTAACCTTAAAAATAATTGCACTTTTATTCAATCGTAGTACATGCCTACTCCTAAAAACTAAAACTATTAATTGATTCTGCATTATAATCTTCATTTCACTTATAATCTATCTTATATATGAGCTAATAAAATAAAAAATAATATAATGAAATAAAACAAAAACAAATTATTCCACTTGCATTAAAATTAGATTGATCCACTACAANACAAACCTAATGTCTTTTATTTTTGGGGAAAAAATGCCAAGCAACATTATTCAGTGCATATTTTTCTATACAATCATTTTTATCTTATAATAGCGTTTTTTTTACCTACATCTTCACTTTTAACGGTATATAGATACATGACCTTTGTATTAAAAAACTTTGGTTTGTTGTCTGCACTAAAATGTTATTTATGGATTTAGCCCAACTTTCAACTTGCTATATCTCAAAACAACAAACATGATGCTTGGCACTTTTTTCTCCCGACCCCTTCAATTTTACAATAATTGACAGCTTTTGGAAGCATAGATGTGTATAAAGAAAACAGCAAAGGACCTTACACTGACCCCTGCGGTACTCCACGCTTCAGCTTCAATGGTTCAGAAATTAAGCCATTGACCTGTACACATTGGAATCTGTCTATTAAATACGTCTTAATCAACCTTATAAATTCCTCCCCGCCTCCAATATAGTGAAGCATCGACAGCACAATATCAATGTCAACAACATCGAACGCTTTGCTAAAATCCAACAACACTAAAGCGGTGCACTCTTTACCGTCTTTGGCCTTTAATATATCGTCAGTGACATTTAAAAGTGCAGTTGTGCAACTACGTCCAGGCACAAATCCCGATTGACAGTCTGGTAATATATCATTTGAAATAATAAAGTTTTTAAATTGGTAGGGAATAACTTTTTCCAGTACTTTGCTCAAGGTAGGAAGAATAGAAATCGGTCGCAGGTGCTTAAAGTCAGTAGGTTTTTCGATTTTCGGTATTGGAATGACCACAGCAGACTTCCACTGCGAGGGAAAATGTGACTTAATTATGCAGCTGTTTATGAGATGTGTGATATATGGAAGGGCATAAGGAACTATTAATTCAATCATCTGCGCAGATATGCCATCAGAGCCAACAGATTTACTGGTGATTGACCTGATAATGCCAAATACAGTATCTTCATCTACCGTGTGAAGATCAAAGGGTGTATTCGTATCGCTATAGCTGTTATTTGAGTAAAATAATATCGTATCCTTTATGTTATTAATATTGACGTCAGGAGTACCGCCAACAAATGAATTATTTATCTGATTTACGTTTGAAAGATGAGGCGGTATATCTTTCGACTTTTTACTCCCTATATGACATCCACGAATAGTTTTCCACATTTCTTTTTTATCCGTGCGTGTATGTAAATTATTAAAGTATGCTATCTTTTTGTGTCAATTTCGTAATTGCTTGTAATAATCCCAAGATCCAGCAGTTCTGCATTTTTTGTACCTTGTTTTAGCCTCATCTCTCAATCTTTGTAGTAAGACGATATTGTCAGTCAACCAGGGCATCTTTGGTTTACGGATTCTTACAGTACGCATTGGTGCATGTCAATCGATAAGATTTAATAAGGTTTCATTAAAGAATTCTAATTTTTGTTCCAATTCCATGTGAAACATATGATGAAGGGGAATTGCGCGTAGATCAGCAAAAAATGATTCATAATTAAATTGTGAGAAATCCCTATAAGTATGCATAAATGGCACGGGTTTCAAAGATTCACATTTCAGACGACAAAACACCAAATCATGGTCAGAAATATCTGAATTAATCACACCAGAATCAGTCACCCCCAGCTCATCCGAAACCGCAATGATATCTAACAGGGTTGCCGTAGCTTCCGTGACTCTGGTAGGATCGGATATAAGCTGCAACACACCAACCGCCCGAAGACCATTAGTTAACTCAATAGCCTCACTTATTTCTTCGTTCAATAAGTTAATGTTGGCATCACCAGCACAAGCAATAAAATCATAATTCAAACGAAGATCAGACAATTGAGCCTCTAATTGAACAATAAAAATAGAATTAGTAAAAGAAGGAGGTCTATAAATGCATCCAAAGGCGTATTTTTTATCTTTGTCCTTAACTGCAACCCATACCTGCTCATAATCGCCCTGACACGGAATATATTCACAGTGCAAATCAGCTCTTACGTAAATTCCTACCCCACCACCACGACCATCCCTATCCCTTCTAAAGAAGGTATAGCCATTTATGGTAAGAGCATTATCAAGAACAGCTCCGCTCAACCACGTCTCAGATATACAAAATATGTCAAAATTATTATTACGCAACAAATAGTCAATATCATTTAGTTTAGGCAATAAAGATCTTACATTTAAATGAGCAACAGACAACCCCACCGATCCCATAAACAAGTGAACCAACCAAGAATAACACAGCAAATTCAACCCAACAAAAACAAAATAAAACAATTAAGTGTATTATAATGTAAGCGTTTAAAAAAATAAGTGTTAGAAAAAAAAAAAAATAAACCTTCATTACGCATGTGTCTCATTCTCCTTCTTAGGGATATCTTCTAATCTTCTTATTTCTAAGTATCTTCCACCCCACTTAGAAGAATAAATCCACTATCAGATAACTGTTGTTAATAAATCTTATCTATTCTAATAATCTTTTTACGTTTTTGTAACCCTAAAATGTTATTATAAGGGGGTGAAAAAATCAACCTCTATAATACTTTCCATCAGAACTTTTTAACGCATCTACATTTCTTCATTTACAAACTTGATTTAAATAGCGGGATTGAATCTGCAACTTTTTGTCTATTAACTTTTTCTCCTAAAATTGTTAATTTGATCACAAAAAAATTTCTCAAATTTCTAGAGAGTTTTATACGTATTGGCTGAAAATATTCTGCACAACTAAATAAGACTTTACTGACAGAATGGTATTTAATAACTACTAACAATTAACAAAACTACAAAAAAAATAATAACAACGTTAACAAAATATCAATAATAAGTCATAACAAATGTTGAAAATGCCGCCCCTCAGCATCACCGCGATTCTACATTTCGCCTCATTAAATTTCGTAATCTTTCAAATATTTCTGGTGTATTCCTAAAAATTATCGTGACCGATGGAAAAATATTTTTTCCAGAACACTTTTTCCTTTTCTCCCTATATACATGAAAGACCTTCAACTTCTGGGAATATAATGCAAGAAACGGAAGCTGCCGATAGCAAAGAAGAAGAAAACAATTCGCTGATGACCTCAGAAACATCTCATCTCCATGATGAAAATCGATGAACTCCAGTCGTCGGAAATCGTTTTATCACTCCAGCTTAAAAGGAAAATAAAGGCAACTCCTTAACAACAGCAAGAGGAACAACTAAGAAATACTGCAAACGATGCTTTTGTGGAATGGGTGGTAATGAAAAAACAGAACGGTAAGAAAACTGAGGAAAATCAACAGCGAGATTTCGACATGTTGTTTCTCGAATCTCTGTTACCTAATATGAAAAGGCTTGATAATAAGCGTAGAAGAAGAAGATGATGCAACTTATCAACGAGCAGCTCGATGAAGCTGAAAGATAGACTGGCACACCATTTTCACCATGGGATACTTCTCCTTCTTCCACTGCACATTATCATACTTTTAATTCCACGCAAACGATACTCGACACACGCAGTTTATGGTATGGATCTTTTATAAATTCTTTAGTTTTGAATAAAGTTGCTTCCGTTCTGCATTTTTAATCTTTATTTTTCATTCTAGCTACTTCGTTTTTTCAAACGAGTATTTTTTTAACTCTCAAAATATACCACTTATCTTATTGTGATGAGTAACTTCTCGCCTGGTGAAACTGAGAGTCGAAATTTCGTGCCTTGCTTGTGCAAAGTAGGTGAACCATTTTGCTCCAGAAAATGGAGGCTATGTGGACTGATTCGGTACATTTCTTTAAATTTTCTCACGTGTTGAGAGAGTTCACGAGAAACAAACGCTGAACTGTGCTATATGTTCCTCACGTTATACGGGTGCACCCAATACATTCTTTTATTAATAGATCTTTTTCTTTTGCTTTGTTGCAACCACCAGTATGCCACAACACATCCTCGTCGGACGAGCTCATGATTACAAATGTCCCGAAAAGCACATGTATCATGATGCATCACATATCGTTTCTTCCTAGTATGCACTGCGCTCTTGGTGCATATTCATATCCCAACGTGTATCGTATCACTTGTCGTATCTTATATTGCATCTCCCTAGTCTGCATCGCGATTAGAGTTGAATAAACCAGGGTTTTATGAAAACCCCGAATACAAACATCCAATAAATTTAATTCTGGAGATTTAGCTGGCCAATTCTTGGGACAATGGGGTAGCGATGAGCGTTTTTATTAAAATGTGCTGACGCACTATCATGCATGAACCATAATTCTCGCCTAATCTGTATCGAAACATCATCAAGAAGCTGGGGCAACTTTTCATACCTAGTTCCCTGTATATGTTATGATATACAGGGAACATATATAACATATATATAACATATATATATTATACTCTTATTTTAGATCAGTTAGCTAGGAAAAATTGCCCAAAAAATTTATTTAATATTGCAAAGTCTTATTTTTCGGATAGGGTTGCAATTATTGATGAGCCTGGTATTAATATAAATTATAATATTGATAGAGGTTGTCCACAGGGGTCAAGATCTGGCCCAGGTTATTGGAATATTATGTACGATTCAATTTTTGATATTAAATTTCCGGTAGGTTGTGAAGTTGTGTCTTTTGCTGATGATACAACTCTTTTGGTAAAAAGTAAACAATATAAAAATATTTCAAAATTAGCGAATATCGCGTTAGAAAATTTAAACATTTAGAGTGTTAATTGTAAATTAAAATTTAATGCTTCTAAATCGGAAGCTATTTTCTTTGGTAAACCAAATCAAAGATATCCAAATATTTTATTAGATGGTAATAAAATTGTTTGCAAAAATGTAGTTAGATATTTAGGTGTTTATTTAGATACTAAATTAAATTTTAAATACCATTTAGATTTTGTAACAAAAAAGGGGTAAAGAAATTTCTAATAAGATTGGTGCAGCAGCTAAAATTTCTTGGGGGTTAAATGGCAAAGCAGCATCAGTTATTTATAAAGGTGCTGTTGAGCTATGTATGTTTTATGCTGCGTCAATTTGGGAAAACAAAATTAAAGATGTTAAAAGTAGGAACAAATTAATTAGTGTCCAGAGAGTGTTAGACTTGAAAGCAGCTAGGGCATTTAGCACAGTATCGAATGATGCTTTTGGTGTATCAGGGCTTTTACCAGCAGATGTGAGATTCAAAGAAATTGCACTTTGGCAAAATTTGTATATTTTAAATGATCAGGATCTACGGTTATTTACTGGAGTAGATATTAACCATGATAAGATAGAGAAGGAAGCTAAATTCTTAACGGATATTCATCCTGCGAAGCGAGATATTATGGATTTTAAGTCAAGGAAAATTGTTTTGAATAAAGGAATCCAATTATTTACGGATGGTGCTAAGATTGGTGCTGCGTTTGCTGTTTTTTGTGATGGTGTTGAAGTTTATTTTGAAAAAATTAAATTAGGTGCGTTATGTGATAATTATCATGCGGAATTATTGGCAGTGAATAGTGCAATTAAATATGTTATTAAAGAAAAGATAGATAAGTGTGAATTATATAGTGATAGTATTTCAGTTTTAAAAGGCCTAAAGAACATGAAGAAACCATCTATTTTGCATGATTTCTTTTGGATTAAGGGTCACTCTGGAATCAAGGGTAATGAAAGAGCGGATCAGTTAGCTAAAGAAGCTTCGATCTGCGAAGATTTACAAATTGATTTAAATGTGATTTCTAAGAGATCAGTGAAAAATAGGATTAGGAAATTTATGTTGAAAAAATGGCAAGATAGATGGGATAACTTAATGACTGGGAGGTTGACTTATCAGTTTATACCTAGAGTTGGTAGGGTAGATAGATTTTTAAAACCCGAAACTGTAGAATTAATTACTGGTCATGGCAATTTTGAGGAGTATTTAAATAGAATTGGAAAATTTGAATCTCCTTTGTGTTTGTGCGGTGTTGAAAGTGGAACTTCGATGCATGTTTTATTTAGATGCAAAAATAAATTTGAAGAGAGATGTAGATTACAGAATAGAATGTTGATTAAAGGTATGGTATGGCCGAATTTAGAAGAAGATATTAAAAACATTGATAAGTGTGATGAATTTTAAATGAATGTGTTGTGTGTTTTATTGATAAAAAATAAATGTAATGAAAGTGTAATAATTAAATAAATAATTAAATAATTAATAATTAAAAAATAATAATAAAAAAAAATTTAAAAAAAAACAATAAAAATAAAAACACAAAAATATTAATTTATTAGTTTGCTAATTGATTTTTAGAGTATTTAAAGCGTTGCTTAGTTTAATAATTTTATTTTGAGTATTTTAATTGCTTTAAAATCAACGCTTATGGGAGGGAAAGGGGAGGTAGAGAAACTCGTTGGTAAATTGTATTTATCAATTAATCATTTAGATTAAATTTTTATTGAATGAAGTTTGTTCTTGGTAAATGTATAGGTGTAGTACAGCGGTTCTCAAACTTATATCCTTGCGTACCACTAAGGCTATTTTAAAAATCAGGTAGTACCACTGAACAAAAAAAAACAATAATGATAATGCAAATATAAACTGTATAACGTTAACTGTGTACCACTTGAGAACTTCTCGCGTACCATCAGTGGTACGCGTACCATAGTTTGAGAACCACTGGTGTAGTACCTTTTGGTGGAGCACCTTAAGATTTAATTTTTATTAATTTATCTTTAAACGATATATAGTGTATATGTTATAGTTACAAGGAAATATAAAATTTCCAGATATTGTTTAGAGCAAATATTTTTTAAGGGACTAGATAGATTTAGCGATACTTAAAGAGATTGAAGCAATAGCTTTACTGAACAGTTTTTTTAAGTGATTAACGAAGTGTCTAAGTGGCCTACTTTATCAAGTGATATTTCACGAACGTCAACGTGTCTTATAAAGACTCAAAAATTAACCCGACTCCTCCTTATTTATGTACTGAGATAATATTAATTGGAAGGATTCTAAATTTCTATAAAGGTTTAAACTTCTCTGTGTTTCCTATGAATAGTAATTTTATATTATTACTAAAAATCAAAATAAACTTAAGGAATTATAGGATTTCCGAAATGTTGTTTTTCCTTTTTTTATTTCTTCCATTCACCCAAGTAAACGCAGCCTCTACATCTGCTTCGTATTAAATTACGTCCTTGAGTACGAGATCACCATGTAACTTTTATACAGCTAGAGTAATTAAGTTAGTTAGACTACGATTTAATGGGGATCCTTGATATTTACGAATAAAAGTTGTGATTTTGATATCTAGATTAAAAGATTGTTTTTACATCTCTCATCGAGTACACTAACCCCAGACGAAAAAATCTTATGAAATTATCAAGATCACATTATTTCCAATATCGTCCAATATCAATTCCGTTACAGCTACGATATGATACTATATCGATTCACAATGACAGTTAAATCAGTCATAATATTATGTAAATAATTTAAATTTTCTTAATCTGTACTTTTAAACTGATTTTCTTTAATTTTAGTCTAACTAGTTTCGGCCCATGGCCATCTTCAGAGACTATTCCACAAGAGATCACATTATTTACATTTTCATAATTTAACAACTGGAATGGATTTTAATTATATTTTAATTATCTGAAGGACTGCAACTCTCGTCTTCAGCGCCTAGGAGATAGGTTTATTCTTGAAGGTGGTCTTAATATGCAAGTTTCACTCCACTAGAAAACTCATATATTGGTCGATTGACAGAAATAAAATTCCTGACTTACAAGCTTTCTTTATTAGTAAACGTATTGCTTCAAATCTTGTGCACATTTAAAAAGGGCTAGATCTGGCAAGCGATCACTTCTCCGGAATACATACATTAAGTAACAAAGTACACCAATCCAAAACCTACTAATAAGTATGCTCACTGCCAATTGCACAAGCCACAATCAATAATTACACTGTGCTGCAAACTTTATCTTTTTTTGTGTACAGTAGATCAGATGAGTGTTTTTAGTTAATTTTGGGTTGCTGATTTCAAATATGACTTCCATTTTTTTGCGGCTTCTCACGGCTGCAAGACATAGGATTTTATAAGGAAACTACACATGTAGTAAATTTGATATTTAGCACCTTGATATAAGGTGAAGAAGAAGATCTACCTTTTAGTGGTAGTGTCATGTTTGTACCACTTCCGGTTATACCGGAAATTGTAACGTCATTTTGAAGAAAATTTTAAAATTTTATTTTATTTTTGAAATAAAAGTTATTTAGAGTTGGTGAGAAGAATTTGACATCAAAGTAGGTCATCATCCGATATAACTATACTAAATAATGCCATACAACAACTAAAGATAGAAATTCAAAAGAAACAAAGCTAATTCTGTCAGTAGATATCAGAGCAAACTGCCAAATGATAGTAAAACTAACTGTTCACTCTGGAAAGAGGCTAAGAAGATCAATCTAGCAAAATCCACCAATTGAAAACGCAGACGGTACGTCGGAAAAAAGTTATACACAAACTTGAAACAGATACGCTGAATATTATCTTGAAGAGACTTTCTAGCCGAATCAGGGTAAAGGGCTTCTCGACTGGAAGATTCTTGCAAAGAAAGAAGCTAAAATATATCCTCTATTTTAAAAGAAAATAGTATCAGAAATTAAAGAAAATATTAATCCCTAAAAAGCTCCAGAATTTGACTTAATAACGACTAAAATTTTAAAAATCATCCCACGTAAAGCAATTGTAAAACTTACCTATCTTATTAACAAGTAATCGAAAATAGCAAAAATAATAGAGATTCTTAAACCCGGTAAACTACCAAATTGAGAATCTCTCTGATCCCTGTAATTTCAAAACTTATCAAAAAAATACTTCTTAAAAATGATAAATGATTAAATCCGGTTATTGAACAAAAAAAACAATACCAGACCATCTAGTTTGGCTTCAAAGAGAGTCGCTCAAATATTTATCAGAGTTACAGGATCACAGATACATATAATTGAAAAGTCGCTGATAGAAAAAAAGAGTTTGTCCCACCGTACTCATTCCTAGATGTAGCTCAGGCTTCTGATAGAGTGTGGTATAAGGAAGTTCAATAGGAATTAAGAAAGCTCTTACCTAGCCAGTGTTTATAATTGTTGATGATTTATATCTCAGATTGAGGGTTAAACAGGTAAACGCTTATTTTGAATATAAAAAATTAACCTCGGAGTACCACAAGGCAGTGTACTAGGGTCAGCCCCCTACGTACTATATACTAGTGATATTCCTAAATTAGAGCATAACATTATAGCCGTGGGTATAATGGCTGTGGGTAAAGGTCAGGAAGAAGCAATATATCAGTTAACAACATTAGCAACTGGACCAAGCAATGGAGTATCAAGTTATATGAGGCTCAATCAGCCCTATACTAACTTTGCAATCAAAAGGGGCCGAATCAACCATTCAGTCAACACGAATGGTTCCATTTTTATTGAGAATGCTTGGCAAATCAAAAATTCGGAAAACAATAATTAATAACATATGCATTTCAATATTCGGCATTCCGCTGCTCATCTTTTAGCACAAACTGTCTTCATTAACGTCGATAGTAGATAAATTCCATTTGCCAAAGAGTGTGACACCTGTTTTTAGTATTTTTGTCAGAAACGTGCATTCACTGCAAAAGCTGTCAATAAGTTAAATGATTTTGAGTTTAGGATCAGAAAGGTAACTGCATGATTAGTAATTAAAGTGGTTAAACGATAAGAAGAGTCCATCGCTACGTAACCAGTAATTTTCATTGATTTTTTTTAAGATTTTGATTTATTGGCGAAATGCTGATCATTGAATATTTTTTATCTCTGGAGTATTCAATGTTAAATATGATAACGAATTCACTGTATCTTTTCAGGTGGGAAAGGTGGGCTTCACCAACCTTCTTCCCGTTTTCTGATACGTCTGCAACGTTAACAAAAGTGCCATTCTCTGCAAAGTCATTAATTTGCTATAGACTATTTATAAGTTATCTTCGAACAAGATCATTCCCATAAACAAACCGTTCTCAACTGAGATATTACATCTACACTATTTTGACATCCATGACAATATCCAGTATACCATAAAAAATAAAATAGACGATAATAACGATAATATCTTAGTATGATTCGACATTGATATTTAGTAAATATATTATAATTGATAAATATTATTTAATCACCTGGCTACAAATAGTAGATGTGACAAGTTCAAACCACACAATATATAATCCACAACATACACAATATTCAACAAAGAAAGAGAGAGAATAAATTATGAAGTATGACCTATGTTAGTTGACTAGTACTAATATTAAAATTAAATGACAAGTATTTCTGGCGATCGTAAAACGCCCTTTCTACAAGCATCATTTTTACTTTATGTTTAAATGAGCTAAGCGTATCAGCTTTTTTAATTGCAGATGGCAAATTATTATAGAGCTTTGGAAAATCATACTGTGGACTCTTTTCAAAGAAAGCCATGTTATGATGACCAAAGCACACCAAACTGTCAGATCTAATATCGTAATTGTGTTTCATGACAGGGTACCTATCGACATGCTCCCGCATATGATCAACTGATTTATATATATATATATATATAGTGCTAGCGTAAAGTAACCCCTCCCCCTGTTTAACTTCCGAACAGATTGAGATATCAATATGAACAAAAAAACGTCAATTTCTATATTTTATCAGCACAAATATTTTCTTATGGAAAATTTTGCCATCACTTTTAGTTTTTCCGGAAAATAGATCAACTTTGTTTTTTTAAATGGAACACCCAGTATATTATGGTATCTTCCAAATGATGAAAACAATACGAATTCAACGGTACCTCACAATCAAATATCGGTTTATTAGTTTTTCGCATAAAAATTAAACAAAATGCGAAATTTCGCCGGAAAAACCAACGTATCTTCGTCGACTACCTGTCGAAATGCAATAGGCCAGGTAAATGGTGGACGTTAGGTTAACGGTCGGTATACGCTCGAGCTAAGACGGATTTAAAATTGCAACTTCAATTACTTATTTTTTTAGAAATGAAATAAAAGTTGGGTGGAAGTATATTAAATTTATGAATTAATCATATTTTATCAAAAAATATTTATAAAGAAAAAAAGTCAATATAAGAAATGAAATTTTCTTATTAAAGATTTTGCTAGTATAGATAACGGTTGAAAAATTGGCTTAGTGTTGTTATTGAATAATAAAAGAATTTTTTATTTATTAAGAATCAACTATTAAGTAAATTGTTCGATATGATTACCCTGAACTTCTAGGCAGTGGTA